GCAAAAATATATTTTTATTGATTTTAGAGAGGAAGGGAGAGGGAGAGAAAGAAACATCAATGATGAGAGAGTATCATTGATCGGTTGCCTCCTGCAGGTCTATACACTGGGATGGAGCCTGCAACCCAGGCATGTGCCCTGATCAGGAATTGAACCGTGACCTCCTGGTTCATGGGCTGACACTCAACCACTGAGTCATGCCAGCCGGGCTATATAAACTTTTTTAAAGAGGTGTGTTTTTTTTAATATTTAAGATTTTATCTCAATAGATGTTTGAAAAATAAATTAGGATATCAACATTGTGATTTTATAGATATTACTAGAGGCCCGGTGCACGAAATTCATGCACGGGTGGCGTCCCTCGGGGTGGCCTGCGGGTGGCCTGGCGCCACCCCCTCACCTGCTCCACCTGCAGGACGATCGATCAGTGCCTGGGAGCCAAGCGGAGGCTCTGACCCTGACCCCTGCCACCGTCTGTGAGGCCATTGGCTGATCAGGGCCCCACTCGCTTGCACCCGCCTTGGCCTGGCGCTGCCCACATCCACTGCCACCCACCCCTGGCTCCCCATTCCCCATTGGACGATTGGAGCCTGCCAGCCAAGGGGAGGGACTGAGAGGTTGGCCTGCTGGCTCCCATCGGGTGTGGGGTCTGAAGGCTGGGGGCAGTCCTGTGTTGAGCGTTTGCCCCCTGGTGGTCAGTGTGCATCATAGTGACTGGTTGTTCTGATGCCCAGTTTATTTGCATATTATACATATACTAGGGGCCTGGTGCATGAAATTCAATCACTCGCTACGATGTGTGCTGACCACCAGGGGGTGGCACAGAACAAAGGAAGGCCCCGGCCAGCAGCCGGAAGTTCCCGATTGGCTCTGATTGCCAGCCAGGCCTAGGGACCCTATCCATGCACGAATTTCATGAAACAGGCGTCTAGTAGTGTTATAAAACAACATAACACAAATTATTTGCATTTAGGTTCAAGTGAAATCAGTCCTAAGGTTTACTTTTGAATTCTTAGGGTTCACATTCATGCTTTGTTGTTTACATCTTCCTCGTTCATGTTTAAAACTTCTAACTCCATATTTTTACTAGGAGTAGCAAGTATATCTAAAGTAAGTAAGTTACATTTAAATAAAATATATTTTTTTTCATCTAATGACACAAATTGAATGAATGTGCTTTGCAAAAATCTTTAAAGATCTAAGACATGTTTTCTCATCCCAAGGGAATTATGTTGACTAAGCAAACCAATAGTTATTTCATATGCATAATAGGTATTGCCTTCTTCTTAATTGCTTTTTGACTTACTGAATTGTAGAGTTAGAAGAAACCATAGGACAGTGCTTTCTCAAACTTTAATATGCATGTGAATAGTATGGAGATATTGTTAGACTGCAAAGGAGGGGTCCAGATTCTGTATTTCTAACAGTTCCCAAGTGATAATTGATGCTACTTCTGGTCTACTCCCTTCCAGTAGTAAGGTTTTAAAGGGCCAAGAGATGGGAATAATAATATCTTTCTTTTAGAATTCTTTTTAAGAATTAGAGGCAATATATATTAAACATCTCAAATCTGGTACTTTGTAGTTACCCAATAAATAGGTGGCTATATTAGGATTAGTAAACCCTTCCTCTACAGAGGAAGAAAAGAGTTCAGAGAGCTAGTCACTGCATGCATCATTGCATCCTCTTTTCCTCTGCTTTGAAATTTTTTTAAAAAAATATATATTTTTATTTATTTCAGAGAGGAAGGAAGAGGGAGAGAGAGAGAAAAACATCAATGCTGAGAGCAAATAATTGATCTGCTGCCTCCTGCATGCCCCCCTACTGGGGATGGAGCCCACAACCCGGGCAGGTATCCTCACTAGGAATCAAACCCAGGACCTCTTGGTCCAAGGGTCAATGCTCAATCCACTGAGATACACCAGCTGGGCGAGACACATTTAATTTTAAGGAAAGAGCACTGTTAAAATAACAGTCTTCGTCTAACCCTCAGAAACATTGTAAGTAATATTGTCAGAATGATCTATAACAAACATGCCAAACTCAAAAACTAACACAGGCCAAATAAATGAGGCATGCGGCCTGTGGGCTGTGAGTTTGACATGCTCGACTTAGAGTATGTAGCATGAAGATGTAGTTTGGGCAAAAACTGGTAAGAATTCAGTCATAGTTTACCAACTCTAATTATTATGGCAATGATGGTATTAAGTAGTTGGAAAACTTTAACTTATATCTAAATGAGTCAAATGACTTAGTATAGTTTATTCTCTTCTCAAGCCCTGTTACTATTCAAAATATAATGCACATGTGTACACACAGAAGGGACTCCTGGTGCTGTCTTGCTTGCCCCTAGGAAGCTAAGGGAAAATTATATAAATGTCTGTGTGTTTTTTTGCTTTTATGTTCTCTGCTTAGATATAGGGACTCCAGTTTTTCTTACTTTAAAATTTTCAATCCTAGTATTAAGGTAAAATACAATTTCATTTATCATGAATTATAGAAAATATGTCTTAACAGAAGTTCAGAGTGGTAATAGATTTTGAGATGAAATTTTTTCTGATTTTCTCTGTTTCCTAAAATGTTTTTAAAAGATTTGTTTTGTAGAAGCTATTGATTTAAGACTTAGCAGTAATTTCTATGAAATTTAATGCTTTTAAAATTTTTTCCTTCATATAGGTGGTTTTGATGATAATTCTCCTCTGAGTTCGGTTGAGCGGTATGACCCTCGAAGCAACAAGTGGGATTATGTAGCAGCACTTACCACTCCCAGGGGTGGAGTGGGGATCGCAACAGTGATGGGCAAAATCTTTGCAGTTGGTGGTCATAATGGCAATGCATATTTAAATACAGTGGAAGCATTTGATCCAGTGCTGAATAGGTAACTGTTTTCTCTACACTTTAATGGGATCTTCCAGTAACTGATTACTTCATGGTGCTAAAATGCTGCCACATGGGGTTAATATAAAGCATTTGGGATATCTTGTCTCCCTTAGGAAGCTTGGTGTCTTTCAAAACCAATCCCATGATAGGCAGTTTTGAATAAAGTAAATCATGCTTTCTTTTAAGATCACATTCTTTCGCCCTAACCAGTTTGGCTCAGTGGATAGAGCATTGACCTGTGGACTGAAGGATCCCAGGTTCAGTTCTGGTCAAGGGCACATGCCTAGCCTGTGGGCTTGATCCCAAGTGGGGGACGTGCAGGAGGCAGCCAATCAATGATTCTCTGTCATCATTGATGTTTCTATCTCTCTCTCTCCTTCTTTCTTCCTCTCTAAAATCAATAAAAACGTATTTTTTTTTAAAAAATAACATTCTTTCTCCTCTCTCATTTCAGGTGGGAGCTTGTTGGATCTGTGTCTCATTGCAGAGCTGGAGCAGGTGTAGCTGTGTGTGCCTGTTTAACTAGCCAAATTCGAGATGTAGGTCATGGATCCAATAATGTGGTTGACTGCATGTGATTTGAGTTCCAATCATCAACAATTTCATCATATCTGATAGTCAGGAAAAATGACCAGGATTTTGTATGACCCTCTTTGAATAGTTTTAACTACTGCTAGAGTCTTAATGAAATGTAAACTGTTGTATTGTGACGAAGTACAACTTTCGGGATAGTAGCTAAAGAATTATTAGTAATAATGTTAAATTTGATACTTTCTACTCTAGCAAATAATTGAGCAGGGAAGAAAGACATTCTAACCTGAAACCATACCTTCCCTGAAAAATGTTTAAAGTAGTGCCAAATGTTAAAATCCCTATTTAAAAAAGTGTGGACGAATCAAAATGTAAGTCATTTGCTGAGTTTTACTTTTTTTTTTTTTTTGGCCTAAAGGTATTAACCTTAGGCGGTGGGCTTTTCCTAGAGGGGAGATTAGACTCTGTTCATCAACACCAGGACATCAGGACACAGAAGAGACCATTTTTTTTAATTCTTTATTTGTTAAGGTATTACAAATGTGTCCTTATCCCCCCATTAACCCCCCACCCCCACTCATGTTCTCATCCCCCTATTGTCCATGTCCATTGGTTTGGCTTATATGCATGCATACAAGTCCTGGAAGAGACCTTTTGAAGAGCAGTTCTACTCTGTGCTGATGAATTTATGTGTTGCTTTTTTCTGGGTGTTGATTTCTCAATTTTTTTGAATATTTACAGAAGTAGAAACAAATGTTTGATCTCTGCATGCCACTTGGCTCAAAGCTTATAGGAGTATTGTAAGATCTTATTTCAGTTTGAATTGTTAGGACACCAAAGACCCAGTGAAATGATTCCATCTGAATGAATATATACTTTTATTTTTTCATCTCATACAAAAAAAGAAATTTCTTCATAATAAGCAAAAATTGAACCAGAGTAAATACTAGAGGAAGGCTTTCGAGTTGATGTTATTCTAGTGCCCAGTCAATAGATCTTAAGGAATGGCACCACTATGTGACTCCCCAATGAGGAGCCTGAGAATATGTTCAACACTCTTTTTTGATTTAATCATTTGATTTTGAACTTTCTATTTTGCTATTTGCCACCATCCTGGGTTTTGTAACTTGTACGAATCTGGATTAATTTATTATCCAAAAATGAATGCAT